CCTAGCACTTGCCTACCTCATCATCCATCACAGAACACCCCTCTCCACCACCTCCTTTTTTAATAGGCTTAATTATTACTTCCCCTACTTCATGGCACAATTAATCTTCCCCATCGCCTCGTGATTTACAGCTACACAGGCCCAGGGAATTTCTGAGCCATTCACCTGCAGACTTGGTCTCAATCCAGGGGAATAGAAAACGGGGCCATGTGTGAAAGCACTGGAATAGCTATGGGCTCCAAGGTGGACTTCCTGTACCCCTGCTCGTGCAGCACAGCTCTGGGGATGGCAGAGGAGAGGACTGTGTGTCCTTTGGCCTCCGGTGGCCTATATCAGGATACACAGGCCACTGCAGCCACCGAGGCTGGTGACCACATGTGGCCTTTTCTCTGTGCAAGTCCCAGACGTAGAGAAATAGGCTTCCAGCTGCACAGCAGGACTCAGCCTCCAGGAAGAGGAAGGTCGGGTCAGCGTCTCTGCATATCTCTGTGATTTAACTTCCTGTTGTGGCAGTTTTCACAGGTAGAAGGAATATTGTAATGAACACTCCCCCTACCCCACCACCAGCAGCAGCACACCACATATGTATAAATGAATTATCAGCATTTCGCAAATCTGATCTTACCTGCTTTTCTATGCATCCACGCATGCTCACATGCACCATGTACACACACACTAGTTTTTCTCCCTCACTAAAGGTTTTTTTTTCCTTAATTTAATATTTATTTATTTATTTGAGAGTCAGGATTTACTCCTACCTGTTGGTTCACTCCCCCAGATGCCTGCCACTTCCAGAACTGGGCTAGACTGAAGCCACGTGTCCCATGTGGGTGACAGCAACCCACCTATAGCACTGAGCAAAGCCCAAAAAAGTTCCCCCGTGTTCCCTGCTCGTCCTGATACTGGTGGGCCACCACGGAGGAGGAGGAGGGCTCACCAGTCCAAGGGACCATGCCTCCACTCTGACACCAACACAGCACCTCCCTCAGGGCCTCTCTCACCTCATTTAGAAAGCCAGCCTCGTGGGGAGGCCTTCTGCAGCTCCCAAATCCTGAGTTCCCCCTGGGGGGAAGGGTTGATGATGTGACTGGAATGGAGCAGAACTCGATAAACGTGAAAGCAGAGCGAAAGAATGGATCTGCTCTGGCTCGTATGTACACTCATCGTAATCCTAACCGCGATATTTCAGGAAGTGAGAAGAACGCTCCCATTGTTTGTGGAGGCACACAGAGGTCCTAACTTTCAGAAAACCCACAAGAGAGAAGATGGGCAGAAGCCGTGCTGAAACTCCAAGTGTTCTAGTTTCAGTCCAACTTTTTTTTTTTTTCTTGCAGTGTTCTGTCCTCACGTCCCGTGGTTTCTGTTGGTGATGTTTAGCAATAAAACCCAAAGTATGGGGCAGGCATTTGGCCCAGGAAAGATGCCTTCTTGGGACATCCAAATCCCATACTGGAGTGCCTGGTTCAAGCCCTGGCTCCTCTAATTCCTACCCTACTTCCTGCTAATGTGCACCCTGGAGGCAGCAGCTGACTGCTCAAGTACTTGAGAACCTGCCACCCTCCTGGGAAACATAGTCCTGTTCTGGCTTAATTTGGGCGCAGCCCTGGCTTTTACAGACTTTGGAGGGAATGAACCAGTGGGTGGGGCACCATTTCTCTCTCACTCTTTCTCTCCTTTCAAATAACTAAGTTTTCAGAGCAAATTTGTGTTGAGCACTTGCCATGTCCCAGGCACTTGCACTGGGTTCCCTGGGCCTCACACCCACGTTTTGAAGTAGGTGTTATTACTCCCATGGCAATGACCTTGGGTGGAGGCCTACAGCCAGAGACAGTGTATAAATCCACAGCCCTGTGTCCTTTCTCCACATGCCCTTGTAATAACTCCCAGGCTTGTGTGCTCGGCTCTTCTGCCTCACTAATCTTCATTGAATCCCCCCCTCCCTGCAGCCTGTTGTCACCTAGCCAGCCCCCCACTGGCAGGCCCTCTGTAAGTCTTCATCTGAGTGACGCGGCCCCTGAAAAATCAAGCTGTGGTCTCGAAAGGGAAGGAGGATCTGCAGATTATCTCCTCAGCGTGTGCAGTCACTCTACTGGCAGCTCTCAGGGATGCTTTTATGTCGCCTCAACAAAGAGCAAGGCTGCCAAGAGCTTGGACCCTGGCAGTTCGGAATTGGCCAGGCTGGCAGGCAGCAGCTGGGACAGGGCAGCCATCGCCAGGCCCCCTTTCCTCGCTGGCCTCCTGTGTGTGTGTGTGTGTGTGTGTGTTGTGTGTTGTGTGTTTGTCTTTGTTTCCAGGCTCCTCCTGGGGTTCTTTGTAGGCCCTTGGGAATGTAAACCGAGACCAAAAAGGAGGAGGGGAGGGAGACTTGCTGGAGAAGCTGGCTGGACAGCAGATCATTTTGCCCTAACCAGCAGGGAGCTGCTTTCCATAAATCAGAGAGCCCCAGGTAGCCATTATCATCCTACTCTGTCCTGCTGTCTAAGTGGACTCTGAAGGCTGGGAGAGTAACAGAAACACAAGTTCTCTTCCTTCCCTCCCTCCTCCCTCTTTCCTTCCTCTGTCACTCCCCCTCAATCCCTTCCTTTTTCTCCCCCCCTTTTTTCTTCCTTCCTTTCTCACTCTATTTATATGCGTATCACATTACATAGTTTACTGTTAATCATTTCGATATAATTTGATATGATTATAACCTGACATTATCAGTAAGAAAACAAAATATGTGAAAATATTTTTTAAGGAAATAAGTGTTTCTTAGAGAGAGAGAGAGAGCCATTATCAACTGGTTTATTCCCACAATGCCTGCACTAGCTAAAGCTGGGCTGGGGCCCATACCGGGAACTGGCATCTCACTGAGAGTCTCCCAAGTCTCCCGTGTGGGTGGTAGGAATTCACTCAGTTGAGCAACACCTGCTGCATCCCACGTACTGCTTTAACAGGAAGCTGGAGTCAGGAGCCGGAGCTGGGTGCTGAACCCAGGTACCTGATGTGGGACTCAAGTCTTCTGACCGTGCCTTGACCACCGCAGCAAACGCCCAGCTTCTGCATAGATATGTTGACTGTCATCTGAGAAATGCCAAAACCCCAGGAGCAAAGGAATAGATGCTTGGCTTCTTCTAAGGATGCCTGGAAACGTGCAGTCTTAACTGTTGGTACAACTGCCCCGTCCCCAGGCATCAGGCTACCACTATAGGCTTAGAAATTATTTATCGAAGAAGTAAAAAGTTGCCATAATAATAATTCTAAAATTCACCTGAAAAAAAAAATCTGTTTTCTGTCTAGAAAAAAAGCATGTTAAATTCAGGACTTCAAAGCTAAAATGTTTGTCACTGCTAGTTTTGTCCTCGTTACCAAGGTCCTAGGTGATGCTATGGTGTCTCTTCCTGGGGTGATGCTATGGTATCTCTTCCTGGGGTGATGCGTTCTGGGAGCTCCCAGCTGGCGGGGCTGGGAGCATCCGCAGCCCAGGGGAGTGTCAGACTCCCTCCTCACACACCTGGCTTCCCCCATGGGCTCATGGTTGAACTGCTTAGAACACAGCCTCCTTTAGCAGCTCTCACACAGCGTGGAAGTGAGGTCTGGAGCACCGTGACTATTGATTGTAAGAGGAGGGTACAATTACAAGAAATTCTGGAACAAAACTCACAGGAATCCCATCACCCAACTCGGCAGCTCTTTTTTCTTTTTGCATCTCCCCCTCAAGGTCTTGTCCATGTGCCCATGTTTATTTATTTATTTATTTTCCTGGTTGTTGTTACTAGGAGCCTGCAAGCATTGCTAGCTAGCTGCCTCTTCCAGTTAACGGGATTTTTAAGAACATTCTCATTTTCCTGCACAGATTTCATGATTATCCTTTTAATAACTGTATCATCCTCTCAGGTTGATAAGCCAACAGTTACTCCTACCAGCCCCCAGTGTTTAGCCTTGGAGATGTTTGATTTTTCCCTGAATCTGGAAAGCTACACTAGGGATGGTTATGTAGGTAGCTGTCATTCCTGATGTGTTTCCCAAGTTCATCCTAGTCTATATCCTCCTCCCAATGACTGGGATCTTTCCCAATTTCAGGGCACCTTCCTCAGTATGGGGAGGGGTTAACTTTATTTTAAAAAAAAAAAAAGATTCATTTATTTTTATTGGAAAGTCAGAGTTACAGAGAGAAGGAAAGACAGAGAGAGATCTTCCTTGTGCCGGTTCGCTCCCCACATAGCCTCAACGGCCGGACCTGAGCCGTTCTGAAGCCAGGAGTCAGGAGCTTCTTCTAGGTCTCCCACGCAGGTGCAGGGTCCCAAGGCTTTGGGCCATGCTCGATCACTTTCCCAGGCCACAAGCAGAGAGTTGGATGGGAAGTGGAGCAGCCGGGATACCAACCAGCACCCACATGGGATTCCAATACATGGAAGCAAGGACTTTAACCACTATGCTACTGTGTTGGTCCCTAATTTTTTCTTGTTATTGTTTGTTAATTTAGTACAAGTAAAACGGTATTTCAGGGTGGCTTTATTTTGCATTTCTTTGATTATTAAAGGGAATTAGCATTTCCCCTGTGGCAGTCTTTGTATTTCTGTGGATAGGAGTTGTCTACTAACATAGTTCTTTTCCTATTTTTGTAAATTGAGGTCTTAAATCTTTTCAAGTCAAACCAAGTGAAATCTTTACACACAGTAGCTATCGAACCTAAAATATGTTTCATAAATTTTCCAGTGTTGTGCTTGCATTTTATTTTTAGATACTTATTTGTAGGACAAAACAATTCTTATTTTTTTAAATCAAATCTGTCAATGTTTTCTTTTCTTTTTTTTTCTTTTCGATTGCTTCGAAGCCTAGAAAGCTGGCCTCCCTCTGGAAAGCTGATAAATATTTAATCCTACCTTCTGTTATTTTAAGTTCTTTAATTATTCCAGATCATATTTTACTGCAGATGAAGTTGCGGATTATGCTTTTTGTTTCCCTCAACACTGTTAACGAGTGACTCCCATGTCTTGCTGTTCTGCCCTGTCACCCAGGGATCATCCACCAGATGAAAGGTGATTACGACACTGCACTGAAACTCCACAAGACGCATCTGTGCATCGCCCAGGAGCTGAGCGACTATGCAGCCCAGGGCCGCGCCTATGGGAACATGGGCAATGCTTACAACGCCCTGGGCATGTACGACCAGGCGGTCAAGTACCACCGGCAGGAGCTGCAGATCTCCATGGAAGTGAATGACCGCGCCTCGCAGGCCTCCACCCACGGGAACCTGGCTGTGGCCTACCAGGCCCTAGGTGCTCATGACCGAGCCCTGCAGCACTATCAGAACCACCTGAACATCGCCCGGGAGCTGCGAGACATCCAGAGCGAGGCCCGGGCCCTCAGCAACCTGGGCAACTTCCACTGCTCCCGGGGCGAGTACGTGCAGGCTGCACCCTATTACGAGCAGTACCTCCGCCTTGCTCCCGACCTCCAGGACATGGAGGGCGAAGGGAAGGTCTGCCACAACCTTGGCTACGCCCATTACTGCCTTGGCAATTACCAGGAAGCCGTGAAATACTACGAACAGGACCTGGCACTGGCCAAAGACCTCCACGACAAGCTGAGTCAAGCAAAAGCCTACTGCAACTTGGGCCTCGCGTTTAAGGCTCTGCTGAATTTCAGCAAAGCCGAAGAGTGTCAGAAGTACCTACTGTCTCTTGCCCAGTCCTTGAATAATTCCCAGGCGAAATTTCGAGCTCTGGGGAACCTGGGTGATATATTTATCTGTAAAAAAGATATAAATGGTGCAATAAAATTCTATGAGCAGCAGCTGGGCTTAGCTCACCACGTGAAGGACAGGAGACTGGAGGCCAGTGCCTATGCAGCGCTGGGCACCGCGTACCGGATGATCCAGAAGCACGACAAGGCCTTGGGCTATCACACCCAGGAGCTGGAGGTGTATCAGGAGCTGAGTGACTTGCCAGGGGAGTGCAGAGCTCACGGGCACCTGGCTGCTGTCTACATGGCCCTGGGGAAATACACGATGGCCTTCAAGTGTTACGAAGAGCAGCTGGAGCTGGGACAGAAGCTCAGAGATCCGAGCCTAGAAGCCCAGGTCTACGGGAACATGGGCATCACAAAGATGAACATGAACGTGATGGAGGAAGCCATCGGCTACTTCGAGCAGCAGCTGGCCATGCTGCAACAGCTCAGCGGAAATGAGTCCGTGCTAGACCGAGGCCGGGCTTACGGCAACCTGGGGGATTGCTACGAGGCCCTGGGCGACTATGAGGAAGCTATCAAGTACTACGAGCAGTATTTATCTGTTGCCCAGAGTCTGAATCGTATGCAAGACCAAGCCAAGGCTTACCGCGGCCTAGGAAACGGACACAGGTAAAAATGGCCCGAGGAGACATGTGCCAAAGTGTCCTGCAAAAAGCAGCAGGTGTGACAGGGATAGTTGCTCCATGCCTGCATGGCAGCATATTAACTACAAAGCATTTCACTGCCAGCCTCCTCTGAGTCCTTCAACTGTTCTTTGAATTCAGAGGATGATATTATTACCCTTATGTTACAGTAAAACACATACACACACACACACACACAAACTAAAGCCCAGAGGAGCCGAGTTAATGCCCCAGATTACACAGCTCACCGGGGTAGCTGGAAGTCCAAGCCGGGCCTGGGTCTAAACATTAATGCCTTTTAGTCTACGTTGTAATAAGTAGGATAGGAGTTAATAATGGTGGGAAAGGCGGATGAATCGTTGTTACTAATCTTTTTGGAGTCCCTCCCATGTGTATGAAAGGGTTCATGAATACAACATTTGTCCCCACTAGTCATTTAGACCCTGCCATGAAGCTTTTAGGAAAAGCCACGTGGTAATGGGGGAGTGGATAACATGTGCCATGTGCTCTGCGTCCTGCTGGGCACCTTACACGGGCACCTTGCTTCCTTCCTTATTACCATACAGTGATTGCCATCTGCTCCGGGTATGACATTTACCTCCCAAAGCCACAGCCCAGGGAGACGGGGTCCAGAGCCCCGCCAAGCTGGCTCGCTCTGCCGCCCGAGTTCACACTCTACCCGCCAGCTCAAAAAGCCACTCTGAGGCCAAGGTGATGCTTTCCTGGTGAACGTGAGGAACCCAGAGAAGCGTGTGCGTTTGCAGAATGTATGGCTTCCCCGGAGAGGCAGGGGATTAGGGCTCCTGGAGTGGAGGAAGGGCAAGGGTCAAACTAAATCATCACCCACAGAGGCTCTGAGAAGCCCAGGGTGAGAGATTTATAGCCACCGTAAAGTGATTTCAAAAACATAGTCTAAGTGGTAGTGGAAATTGGGAGGCCGGGAGAACCAAACAGTTCACTCACTATCATTGTGCCTATTAATATATTTTATGTTTCCTCGGGGTGTATATCCCACTGAAGCTCCAGCTCTTGGGAAGGTCACTAAGGGATGACTCCTGAATTGCTTTCCAGATTATGAAATTCCTCTGCATCTCACTCTAAGGGCAACATGATAGATTTTAGCTAGAAGAGGAGTTAAGAGCTTCTATAGTAAGTGACAGTGACAAATGCTTTTCATTTTCTCAGGGGCTTTAGCATGTCTGCACCTGCATGAAATAATATCATTGCTTTTCTGTCTACATCCCCACAGGGCAATGGGGAGCTTGCAGCAAGCCCTAGTGTGCTTCGAAAAGAGGCTCGTGGTTGCCCATGAACTTGGGGAGGCCTTCAATAAAGCCCAGGCCTACGGAGAGCTGGGCAGTCTGCACAGCCAATTAGGGAATTACGAACAAGCCATCTCCTGCCTGGAGCGCCAGCTGAACATCGCGCGTGAGATGAAAGACCGAGCCCTGGAGAGCGACGCGGCCTGTGGCCTGGGGGGCGTCTACCAGCAGATGGGGGAGTATGACACGGCCCTGCAGTACCACCAGCTGGATCTGCAGATAGCCGAAGAGACCAACAACCCCACGTGCCAGGGCCGAGCCTACGGGAACCTGGGCCTGACCTACGAATCCCTGGGCACCTTTGAGAGGGCTGTGGTGTACCAAGAGCAGCACTTGAGTATCGCCGCCCAGATGAACGACCTGGTGGCCAAGACGGTATCGTATAGCAGCCTTGGAAGGACCCATCATGCCCTGCAGAACTATTCCCAGGCCGTCATGTACCTGCAGGAAGGTAGGTGGGAGGGCCCGCTGAGGCCTGCTGAGTGTGCTCGAGTGAGGTCAGGTTCATGGGACAGAGACGGGGATAAGAGGGAAATGCCCACACAGGCAGGTGTTACCTCTGCACAGAGGGAAGGGCGCACAGTCAGCCCACCTCTAGACCACAGTGCTCCCCACCCAGAGTACCCGACAGCACCAAGGTGCTCCACTGTCGCTTGGGTACCGTCCCCAGCTCTCTTCTAAGCTCCTGGTTGTCCAAAGAGCAGACGGAACCCTGCTGGATGGACACCACGTTGTCACCACAAGCTCTGACATGGGAGGGGGAGACACTGCGCCCAGAAAGCCTCTCAGCTGCATCCACGCAGGCCGATCAGTGGCAGCAGCTGAGTCTGATCCAGGTATGAGAGTTCCCTTACGCAGCCAAGCAGGACTCCCTCCCTCCGTTCACTTCCTTTGGTGCTTTGGCCAATCCACGAGCACAGTCAGACCCAGAAATGGGCTACTCTTCTTCCTCCTCTGCCCTCGGGCTCCACGTGGTTCCCCAGGCATGGTTGGCGTGTGGACACGGCCTTCCCCAACCCTCCACCCAGGTGTCTCTTGTGACGCTGGGGCGGAGCCTGCCTGCTGCAAGGCCTCTCCCAGCACAGGTGCATCACATCTCCACTCTCTCCTGGAACAGAAAGGGGCCAGATCCGATGCTTTCTTTTTATCCGCAAAATTCTTGGAAGAACTCATGGAAAATGTACGTGAATTTTAAAGCTGTCTTTGTACCCAACTGAGCATCGTTGAATTCCACTTTTCCGTGAAGTTTTGGACTCGCTCTTGTAGGTGCTCAAGGTCTTTGCATGTGTAGCATGCTTCTCTCTCATTGCACTCTCAGTGCCTTGAGAGGTGTGTGTTTGTTCCCATTTTCTTAACAGGTAAGTCGCCCGAGGCCTGGAGAGGTACAGTCGTTGGATTGTGCCCTGCGGTTGGTTTGTCTCAGGGTAGGGCGTAGCCTGGGCCTTCCAACCCCAGAAATGACTCTACAGCCTGTCTGGAGTAGTTCCTGACCTTGCAAGACTGGAGCAGGCTGGGGGGAGGGGCGGGAGGTGTTGATTCCTATTGGGCTCCAGCTGGAGCCCTGGGCCTGAGAGGAGCAGGGTGCGAGGTGGAAATGGAGGTGGGAGCAGGGCTCATGGGCGAGAAACGAACTCTCCTGGCCTGAGGGCTCAGAAGTACTGAAGGCTTGGAAGCCATACCTGGAACTTGTTTGTGACCTGAAGTGCACGGCATCCACGGGGAGCAGCATGGCCTTGCCATTTGACTGTGGTGAGTCTGACAGACCAGAGGCTGTCTTCCGCTGAATTGTGAAACTCTGAAGCTCAGGCCCTCGGTGACACACCCCTGAGTCGCATTCTTTCTTGCTGCCCCAAATACTATTTCCAGGCAGCAACAGGTTTGCCTGAGACAGTGTATTGTAGCTCTTTTTACGGAAAGCTCCCGGCTTTCTTTTTCTTGTTTTCTTCTGGCTTTGAAGTCTTGCAGAGGGCTAAAGACTCTGATTTGTGGCATTTTTTGCAGTGTCTGGTGGGATGTTTCGGTTCGAGAGCCTGGAGCCAGGGCCTCTGTCATGGGTCAGTGTAATTGCTTCTCCTCCTGAACTCGGATTTGGGGCTGGTGCCAGTGCAGGCCACCAGAAGGCACTTTGCTGCTTTCCTGAAGTTATGCTGCCCGTTTCGGGCGAGCTGGCCGCCAGGAGAGCTCGGTGGGTGAGTCCGGCACAGCAGCAGGTACAGGATAGACAGTCTGTCCAGGGGAGTCCCCACTCTTTGTCGTTAGTCCCCTGTGTGTTGAGGATAAAGCAAAGCCCTGACCTCGCAGAAGGTGCTTCTAAGCAGGTGCTTGCCTCCGTTGATTTCAGTTCTGACCTGGCAGGAGTGTCTCTGGCATTATGTGAGCTTGCTGAAGGTGAAAACGCATATTCCTTCAGGTTTCTCCCAAGAAAAGCCTCCTTTTCCTGTGAGCTGCTATTCTATAAGTTATGTTAAAATGTAATTGGCGTGTCTTCTTTTTTTGTTAGTGTCATGTAAGCTTCAGCTGTTTTCCCAGTGTTCCATTCTGAAGCGCATGCCTTGTGGACTCGAACCCGAGCATGAGCCCTTTGCTCAGCCGACTGGGTTCCTTTCCGGAAGTGTGCGCTTGCACAGGCCCAGCGTGGTGAGGCCAGGTGCTCATCCGCTCTGAGTTAGGAGAAAGAAGCCCCGGCTTTGTCCCGCGGGCGCCCTTGTGCTGTTTCCTGTGAGCGCTTAGCTTCTCTGAACAGACAGCAGGGTAATGAGGGCGCAGCGACGCTGGGAACTGCTCGGTGGCCGGAGCAGTCAATGGCGGCCTTTGGACGTGGCTTCCCACAGAGCTCCTAAGGGGGCCGGTGTGCAGAAGCTTGCTGTGGGTAAATGACCCAGACTGCAGGTTCCTATCTGAAGGCCATTACTGTGAGGACAGACTCATTTAAGGCTTTCGACTCATAATAGCCCTACTTTTGCAACCCTGCTGGGACACATCAAAGTCTCTAACTTAAAGGCAAGGCAGATTGGACGTGAAATGCAGCAGTAGCGTAGGTAACGGAAGGCAGGCTCTGGCCATGCGTGTATTCTGCTTTTGGGAGAATGTAACATATCTCCTGTCAGCACCGACTGGGGGCTGTGCTCATGAGATAGAAAAAAAAAATCATCTTGGCTTCACTGCTGGGTTGTCAGGAAAAGCTCTTGCTAGCCGGAGAATCGTGTTAGATAAGTTTATCAGCCAGGAGTTTTTCATTTGCAAAGCTGGGAGGCCCGTTAGGTGTTAGCTTCAGCACTTGCAACTGTCTCACGCTGATAGCCATCGCCTGAGCTCTTGCTGGGGCATCTTGGGGCGTCCTGTAAACGTGCCAGCGGCAAGGGTGTGAGGAGAATGGCGATTCCGTCTCGGCTGACTCAGCTGCCCTGCATTTGATCTTGCGGTGTGCTGCAGATTCTCTACACGCACCGCAAACAAAATGGACTCTCCAGGACTGACTGCTCAGTGAGGCTGCATTTCCTGTCTCCCCTGTGTTTGCCCACACTTCTCTGTTTGGCTTTAGGTTTAAGGTTAGCCGAGCAACTAGGCCGAAGAGAAGATGAGGCCAAAATCCGCCACGGTCTCGGCCTCTCCCTTTGGGCGAGTGGAAACCTGGAGGAGGCCCAACATCAGGTGAGCAGGGAGGGCCATGGACAGCCCAAGTGGGTTTTGTTTCCAGAAGCTCCATCTCTGGGTTGTGATGCCATTTGGCACAGGTGCTGACCTCTCCCCCCTCGCCCTGACACCCAGGATTCCCGGACTGTAGCGGCCTCAGGGCTTGAACCATCAGTGCCGGCTCCTGCTCACTCACCCCCTCGTGATAGATTTTGCAATAATTTCTTCGGAATTCTTGCATTGTGTGCGTCTGCTCCTCATTAAACTTTAATGGATCATTACATTCGTTTTACAATGGAAGTAAAACAAGAATTCATAATTATTGGATTTAATATCTTTGTGGGTTTCTGGCTTTATCAATAGACATAACTTAAGTCCCTTCCCGGTGCATTTCTGCATGTGAGGTGCAGAGGGGTGGCTCTGGGGAACAGAGGGGTCCCTGGCATCACGGACCAGCTCTGTGGGGTTGGAGGAATGGGGAGGTAGCCACATCCTGGGCCACACATGCATCCTGTGAGGCCGCATGCGAGTGACAGCCATGGAGGGGGACAGCCATGTGTGCTAGAGAGGGAAACACAGAATGAATGAATAAGGGCTCCTATCCAGAGGGGGCCACAGACCTGGTTTTTGTTTTTAAAATTGGGCAACCTTTAACTTGACACCGTGTAGCCAGACTCAGTGTTACAGCCTCACTGATTAAGCATCAAATAGTGTGACCAAGGTGGCAGCTGGTGGCTGTCCAGGCCCGAGTGTCCTTGGGAGTGGACATGACTCCCTGGGAGTGTGTCCCCAGCCAGCCTCCTCTGACTGCAGCCTGAGGTGGTGAATGAAGGTCCCTTGATGACAGGAAAGAGAAGCTTTCTGGTTTGTTTGTCTTATCAGAAGTAGCACTTGCTTGGATTAATGGCTCAACTTTTAAAATAGACTTCAGATCCCCTTGTCTGTCGAAAGTTGATTCTGTTCTCTAAATTGACTGGATACCTCATCAGGCCCACAAGGACCCAGCTGGGAATAAGGAGTCATTCTCTTCAACTTCTGAAAACAGTGTTTAGGCCGTGTATAAGGTGTAGGTAAAAGCGGGCTCTGCTCTGTTGGTAGCTGGGCTGGTTCCTGGGGAATGGATGACGCTCTGTGCCCTTCTTACAGCTCTACCGGGCATCGGCCTTGTTTGAAACCATCCGGCACGAGGCACAGCTGAGCACCGACTACAAGCTCTCCCTGTTTGACCTGCAGACGTCATCCTACCAGGCCTTGCAGCGAGTGCTCGTCAGCCTAGGTGAGGGTCCCCTGGGCTCTGTGCATGCGTGCATGTGTGAATTGTTGAGTGAGTGCTGTGACAAACTGTGACTACAATGACCTATAAAGTCACAACCTCAACCAACTGTTGAACATTCGTCCAAAGATTCAGCAAAGGTTGGAAAAGTGCCTACTATGTGCCGAGTGCTTTCTGTGGGGATAATAATCAAGAAGGCCTGGTTCTCGACCTCAAGAAGCAATCTTAGCCTCTCAAGAGATGTGTTTGTGAGTTCAATCCCAGTCTAAGTACTGTGGAACCAAAGTGACTTGGCTGGGCAGGCCAGAGAAGCTGTCCCCCAAAACATGGACGCTTAAACCTGGTGGTTCCTTTGTACCACTAGCACCCAGTTCCAGCTGCCACCTGGACTGGCTCCCCAGGCAGTGGCCTCCTCTTGTGATCCGGCCTCCACATCCCATTGCTGCTTCCTTCTCCTGGGCCTTAATGATCACAGCCAGTCCTTTCCACTTGCCCGTCACCTGCCACTTCTCAGAAGGGCTTCATTGGAACCAGTGCAGTCATTGAAGTCGAGTGTGGAGGTCTTTTCAGTAACTTGTCCCCGCTGTATGGTTAGGAATACTCAGGTGTCCCCAGTGGCAGGGAAAAGAAAATGTGCCTATGAAATGTACTCCTTGCTTGGGATCACAGTGTATTATCTGTGGTAATCACGGCGCTAAGCCTGCCTCGCACTCTGCGGCTGCTTTTCCAGTGTGCGCAGAAAATTTTCCCTGCTGTTGCCGTTAATGACTTAATAGCATAAAAGAAGACAGTTGCGTACACACACACACAGATCCTCCCCTTTCTGCTGACAGTCTGCAGGCCATCTTTGAAGTGCTGTCAGTCACAGCATCGGGCCACCTGCCTCAGCTCACTCTTTGCATTCTGGATCAAGTATATTCATATCCGTGTGCAGGTGAATCCTGGTTCATGTTTCTTCAGCCCTCACCAGCAGCCCCCACTTGAGAAGTGGTCACACTACAGCCTTAGCTTTCAAATTGGCACCATTAGCTTTTGGACTCAGTTACAGACTGGTTTTGTGGGAGAAGCGGGATCAAATTTGGTCTGAAAGACTAGGAAACGCTTGAAACCAGTGTTAGAGGAAAAGATGGAGACATGAGAGGTAGAGGAGAGGTTAAGCGTGCAGGGACTCAGCATAGAGCAGGCATCACCACCACCTGCCGTACCTTAAGGCCTGGCCAGACCTCTTTCCCCAGAGCGCCCCATTTGTTCTTTCCAGTAGCCCTCTTAGACGGGCAGGCCAAACACTGCAGTCCCCGTTTATAAGTCAGGATCGGTGCAAGGGAAAGCGGAGGATCGGGGGAAATGGGGACGTGGCTGGACACTGATCGTGGAAGGGCTGCATCTAGCAGAGAGCACCAGGGCAGCAGCAGGAAAAGGGTCCTGCAGATTGCACCTGCTGAAGCCAAGGCAGAATCCTGGTTGAGAGGGGTGATCACGTGAGGGGCGGAGATAGCAGTATCTGAAACCGGGAGCAGCTGAGGGTGAGCAGGGCTGAGGTCGCACTGGGAGCCAGGTCAGTTCTCCCACAGTGCTGCTGCAGACAGCCTTTCTGAGAGTGGACCCGGCGCCCACCACCTGAGGCACGAGTCACACTTGCTGCCGCCCGACCCGGGTGGTGGCGCAGAGCAGGATCTGCCAGGCTGTGCCTGGTAGCGTCTTTGAGCCTGGGCACTGTGGGTGCTGAGCCTATCTTCCTGTGTCTCCTAGGCCACCACGATGAAGCCCTGGCAGTGGCGGAAAGAGGACGAACGAGGGCATTTGCCGATCTTCTGGTGGAACGCCAAACGGGACAACAAGACTCTGACCCCTACTCCCCAGTCACCATCGATCAGATCTTGGAGATGGTCAACAGCCAGAGGGGCCTGGTGCTGTACTATTCCCTGGCCGCAGGCTACCTGTACAGCTGGTTGCTCGCTCCCGGGGCAGGTAAGAAGAGCTCCTTCTGGGGGAGCGGGACAATTAAAACATGAGACGATGGAGGTGAAAGAGGTGCAGTATCCGTCGATCAGACTAAGGAGCTGACGTCTGGTCTCAGCAAAACCTCTGCCATGGTGGGTATTCCATGGTGGGGCATTCAGTTAATAAGACAGCCAGTTCTCTGACCTTCCCTCCACCACCCTCCCGGAATTATTGTTCCTGGTTGGTGAGTATGGAGGCATTTATCCAGGAGAGCTGAGAGCAGGAGGGTTCCTCTCGGCAGCCACCCTGTTTGTAGGCAGCTGCTGTTCATTAGCTAATGAGCGATGGCTGCGAATCCTAATGAGTTCTCCTTGACATGATCTAATCATTGTGACCCTTTGTCAAGGTAAAGTTAGACCCATAAAGGCAGTTCTTGCACAGTATGTAAATAAGTCTTAGGCTTGAAATTTCTGCTTTTAACCCAACCCATTTTTGAGTTGTTCTGTTATAAATCTCTTTCAGAAATAACACAAAACAAAATCCTCCTTGATTAAATCGGCATTAAATGTTCAGGATGTAATAGTTTCACTAAAATACCGAGGCACTCATTAGCTGTAAGGGTCTTTTTTTTTTTTTTTTTTTTTGCATAATAAAATGCTGATGGCTCCACCATGCTGGAGACAAACCAGATCCAATTAGAGTTTATTGACGGGGAAATGGAGAATGGGCTCCATAGCACATTGCGAAAGTTCAGCTGCCAAGGAAGAACTGACAAGATTCTTGATGGTGTCTCCATTCCTTTTGGGGACACCATCCCCAATTCCCCATTCCTTTGTGGCAAGTGATGGCTAAGCAACAACCTCCAGGTGGTTCTAGCGTTCTGAGCCCAAGGACCCTGTAATCTGTGCCTTAGCATCATCTTTTCGATTCCATGTTCCTTGTGGATTTTTCCCAGAAAAAACATTCTTACCCCTGGTCTTTTCATGCCACAAGTTTTTAAGTTATGATTCTCGTGGAATGTCAGCCGCAGAGGAGTGTGTGTGTGTGTGTGAGTGTGAGCGAGCACGCACCCATGTGTCTCCCCACCCACCAGCCTCCCCAGGGAGGAGAACTCGGGGGGTTTGGGTACCTGAGAGGATGAGACTGGTGACTGGGGGTGTCGGGGTCTTTCTCTCTGCGGTTGTTCCTTCGAGGGGACATGATTTGACAGGTGGTCTATCCAAATCCCTGTAATAACGAGCCATGTATAATGAGGCTCCTATTGTTTCTGTCCCCCCCCCTTCCTCTTTGCTGTTAATGAGGCTCTGAAGCCTTCGCTGGGGGCTCTAGTCCAATCAGAGAGGGCCGGCGCTTTCCAGGGCCGACACACCTCATTACCGTTTGAGAATATGTCCTGCGTTTATTGCCAGAAAAACCACTGTGGATTGCCTCCGTTTCATGCTTTTTTGTTTTTTTTTTTTTTTGCTCCTTTATTCCATTAATGACCACTGACCAGTTAGTCTTGTTTAAAAATGGTTTAAAAATGTTTTTATCTCACCTTTACACTGTATGTTTGTTTTGACTTGCTTTTGTGAAAGCAGGGGTCTTTCCTAACAGGTTTTCCACCTGGCTAATTATGATCTTGGTGATTTCAGAGTCTCTGCAGGAAATATACCTGATAGTCTCCTGCCCTGGTCCGGAAGGGACACTTTCCCTAGTTCTGAAACACAGATGAGCTTCCAAGCATGTCGTCAAAATAAAAGCTATAACACTAATTCCTGGGTTGCAAGCCCCAGGCCCAATGGTAAAAACAAACCAACCAACCACATCAGAAGGGCCCCTGACCACAGTTCCAAGAACCCATTGGGAACCTTGGACTTGAGGACTTCTTCACAGGGTTGACCTGCCCATCAAAGAAGTCACATGGCATTGCCATTCGTGTCGCTCCCCAGTCACACACAGTGTCCTCTTGTTTCAGGAATTCTGAAGTTTCACGAACACTACCTGGGGGACAGCGCAGTAGAGCACCCCGGGGACTTTCAGGCCGGCAGCAGCGCCACCCTGCCTGTGGCCACCAGCTCAGCCCTGGAGCAGCACATCGCCAGCGTCCGGGAGGCCCTGGGGGTGGAGCCTCACTACTCCAGGTAGGCAGAGAAACATCTGGGATCACACTTTGGTGTTGTGTCTGTTTGTAGTTGTTGCTACAGAAACAAGCGCCTGTCTCCGGAGGTTGCGTCCCTCGCTGCGCCGTCTGTCCACTGAGGCCTCTGTCCACTGAGGCCTCGTTATGGATCCCCGTTCTCTAAGCTGGGCTGGTTGGCTGTTTCAATGCAGGCATGTCTTTGAATTGGACGTAGCGGTCATTAAAATGGACGTCGCTTTTTGGTTATAGACAGATGATAAGTTTGCACCGGAGCTGGTTGCTTGTTTGAGGGTGGGGCTTAGAGCCTGTGTGGATTGATGCGTGGTGCAGCTGAGGTGATGGAAGCAGAACTTCTAAGTACCAGGCCAGACGGGCTGCGTTCTGTGAGCGTGGCGAGAGGGATACGCTGGCAAAGACCTTTGACCGTGACAATAAGGGAAATAATTTCCCCCAAGCGCCTGGCTTCCTGGAACAATCCACAGAGGGCGCTTTGGGGCTGGGTCCTTGGCAGCCCCCACTCCTCAGAGCACCTGCTCTGATGGCTGCTGTCGGTTCCCCGTGGCCCATCTCTTCAGTGATTTTGTTTTGTAATCAGGAAAAGCCTGAGCTAGTTCTGTGATTTCTTCTCCCCCAGCCTTTTAAAAAAGTTTTTGATTGAGATGGAAAACGTCAACATGCCCGTGCAGTTTAACAATGCGGCATGTTGGTACCATACACAGCATAAACCCATCCAGACAGGCCACTAGCTTTTCACTTCCTTGGCCTGTCTTCGTGTTTGGAGCCTGCCAGCTCCTCTCTGCCAGTCCTTCACACACAGCGTGAAAGGTGGTTCTGACCTGTTGCCATCCCACAGTGCCATGTGACACAAGAGCGGCTTACTGCCATCCGACTGTGTGTGACTACCTGCCCTTCGGTCTCCCTTGACCCTTTCCACAGTTGCCAATCCCAGATGATCACTGGCTCCAGATGTACTAGTTTTATTCTGAATCTCCACATCTGAGAGCCAACAAATGTGTCTGGTTTATCTCAACACAACCGATCTGTGGTCCCAGCCATTTCGTGGAAGTGTCAGAATCTTGTATGTGTTTGCACAGTATTCCATTGTGTAAATTCGCCACATTTCCTTTACCCATCCACTCGTTGTTACACACCTAGGTTGATTCCATGCCTTTGTTACTGTGGATTATACTGCCGTGTGTGTGGTGGACTTGCAGGTGGCTTGTTTATATGCTGAGTTCATTTCCTTTGGCTATTTACCAGAAAAGGGGGATGGTTGGATCACATAGCTGTATTTAACTTTTTTTGTTCATAAAACTCTGTACTGTTCTTCGTAATAACTGTACTGATTTGTGTTCTATGAGCAATGTGTAAGTGTTCCCTTATCTGCACATCCTTGCCAACATTTGTTATTTAAAACATTTTTAATAATAGCTGTATTATCTGAAGGAGGTGCTCATTATAGTTTTGATTGGCCTTTCTCTGGTGGCTAGTGAAATTGAGCTTTTTTTTTTTTTTTAATGTATTGAATAGCCATTTGTATTTTTGTTTGGGAAATGTTTATTCAGGTCCTTTTGCTGTTCTTAAATGGATTGGCATTTTGTTGTTGAGGTTTCCTTTTCTTCTTTAAAATTTATTTGCAAAAAAAGGGAGTATTTGAGTTTCCCTCTATTGAGTCCTTCCTCAAGTGCCTGCGGCAGCTGGGACTGGGCCAGATTGACGCCAATAGACGAGAAGTCCCCAGGCACATGACCAGGAACCTGAGTTATCTGTACTCCCATGATAGTTGCAGTTCAATTCACAATAGTGCAGATATGCAATTCACCCACTTTCCATTAACCGATGCCTGGCTAATGAAAATTCATTCCGTATTCACTGTGGAATACTCTTTGACCATAAAAAAAAGAATGAAAACCTGTCTTGCAGCAAAGTAGATGCAACTGAAAACCATTTGCCTTGTAAGATAAACCAGACCCCGAAAGACACACATCCTGTGCCTTCCTATGTGGGAGTTAATATTGAATGTCAAAAAATTAGACACTAATGCGATGGCTCAGCTAGCCGCTCCTCCACCTGCAGATGCTGGTAGCCCATATAGGCACTAGTTCGTGTCCCAGCTGCTCCACCTCCCATTCAGCTGCCTGCTTGTAGCCCGGGAAGGCAGTGGAAAATGGCTCAAAGCTTTGGAACCCTGAACCCACAGAGGAGACCTGGAGGGGGCTCCTGGCTTCAGCTCAGCTCAGGCCCTTGAAGCCATTTGAGGTACAAACCAGTGGATCAAAGATCTTTTTGTCTTTCCTTCTCTGTGTAAATCTTCCTTTTTAATAAAAGTAAATAAATCTTTCTTAAAAAAAATGAAAACTGTATAGGAAGGAAATGGATATCTTAGGATGTGATTGTTGTTTTTAGCTCTTGTTTATGCTCCTGTGAAATCGTGGTCTTTCTGCTTTTTACTTGTTGAATATTATAGTTAGTGGTGCATGAAGCCTGTGGTTATACGGTGGATGAAAATTGGTTTTTGCAAAAATTGAAGGTAGGAGGTGGGTTGAGACAGGGAGTATGGTTATCTTTTTAGAATTATGTCTAAGAAATACAAGAAATCAATTCTCTTCATGTTGATGAAAAAAGTTTAAAAAGTATCATAACATGGCTTGGAGCGGTAGCCTAGTAGTTAAAGTCCTCACCTTACATGCGCTGGGATCCTATACGGGCACTGGCTTCCCATTCATCTCCTTGCTTGTGGCCTGGGAAAGCAGTCAAGGAGCCCTACCCGTGGGCCGTTCCTATGATGGACATCCTTGATCGTGTCTCCCCGCCTCCCCTTCTCCAAGCATTTGAGTGCTGACACCATGGACGGTACTCACCCAGAGAGCAAAGGTAGTGATGGATGAGGAGGGGGGAGGATCTGGGCTCCGGGGGACTGAGACAGTAAACATGCATACAGAGGCAGGGTATCCGGTGTTTCTCTAGAGGTGGGTGTGGGACACCCCTCCCGGGAGATGAGAGCATCTGTGCTGAGTTGAGCTTCCGGGATGCTGGGGAGTTATCTACTGAGGGACACACAAGCCCTGCGAGGCCCCGGGAGTTCTGGGTGCAGGATCAGCCTTGTTCAGGGAGCTGGCTTCTCATTACCTTTCTGATCATCTTTCTTGCATCAACTCGTATGTGATAGAAAATGTACATGATGGCTGAGGCACTGGTTTGTACAGCTGTGAGCTTGTTCAATGCAAGTCCACTCCCAAGAGGCAACCTCTTTGGGCATGTTTTCAAACTTGGAAGACACCCTGCATGGACAGTCCCTGCCAGTGGAAACCTTTGTCCCTCCAACCCCCCACCACACACAGGTGGTCTCTCCCCTAGAGTAATGGCGGTGTTCAGACCCATGTCATCTCAGGCCAAAGTGACCGCTGACTGATAAAATGTACTGTAAAAATGTGGAATTCGCCTGAGCCCCATACCCAGGTGTCAAGAGTAAAAATTCGCCATGGTAAGACCCGGGATCAGGTAACACTTGTGGCTAAGCTGGTCTTGTGGCACCTTCGAAAGGGATGATGTCTTTTCACTCATGGACTGGTGGCAGGGTCCGGGACACGACTGCAGCTTGCTTGTGTCCAGCGTGCTCTTCCTTCCCCTTGTGCAGCGTTCCCAGTGCTGTGTGTGGCTTGAGGCTTGGCATGGGGTTCTAAGGGCTTGTTCTCAGGGGCTCAGACCCCACCTCAGCCCCCCAGGAAGGGGGGTCTACCCTGTGGCTCCAAAAAGGTCTTGCCAGATATTTGTTCAGATTTGGTGAGCTCAAACTCTTGTTCATGATTATGCTATTAAAATAGGATACTTTATAGGATGGTGTTAGTTTCCACTTGGATGGAGTTTCTGTGAGATTCTAGATTTTGCCCCCACAGCTTCACTGACATCTTACTCTTCATCGATAGAATGCATGACTGCCTAAAAACAACAATGTTGCATGATAAAATGAAGTGAATGAGTAGGCTCTTGCCCTAGGAATGTAAATCGGTCTTGCCCTTCTGTAGGCAATGTACCAACAGCATCAGAAACCCTCAGAATGCTTGGGCCTTTTGACCCCAAAATTTCCATCTTAGAAATGGACCAACAGTGTAGATGATTAAAATGTATAATAACTGGGCCCGGCGTGATAGCATAGTGGTTAAGGTCCTTGCCTTGAATGCGCCAGGATCCCATATGGGCACCGGTTCTAATCCTGGCGGCCCCACTTCCCATCCAGCTCCCTGCTTGTGGCCTGGGAAAGCAGTCGAGGATAGCCCAAACCCTTGAGACCCTGAGCCCGCATGGGAGACCCAGAAGAAGCTCCTGGCTTCGGATTGGCTCAGCTCCAGCTGTTGCGGCTGCTTGGGGAGTGAACCATCGGACAGAAGATCTTCCTCTGTGTGTCTGCTCCTCTCTGTACATGCGCCTTTCCAATAAGCATAAATAAATCTTAAAAAAAAACATAAATAAATCTTAAAAAATATGATGCAGTGACCAAACGAATGAAGCTGGACTTATGCCATATACAAAAATCAAGGTGTCACAGATCTCAATGTAAGACATGGAATTATAAAACTCCAGAAAGAAAATGCAGAGCAAAAGCTTCATGACCGTTGAATTTGGAAATGATCTACTAGATGTGATGTCAAAATAGGAGAGAAAAAAAAAGAGGGAAGTAAAGAGAAAGGGCTCTGTCAAACTTAGAAACCTCTGTACGGCAGAAGTCATTGAAGAGGCAACCTACAAAAAGCAGGAAACATCTGCAAACCTCCTATCAGAAAATGAATTGACGCCCAGGATCTTGACGACGACAGCAACAACAAAAAATCCGGTTTAAAAATGGGCAAGGGACTTGAACAGATGTTTGTCCAAAAGATACAGAAATAGCCAACAAGCCAACGAAGAGCGGTTCAGCATCACCCACCATCTGGAATATGCAAATCAGAGCACAGTGAGACACCGCCCCATCTCATCAATGAGGTCTTCTGAAAACCCCAGGAT